ACTCTTTAATGAGCATGGGAGTCGAGCTTATCGAACCATGAGTTTGAGCTCGAGCCTATACTCAAGCTCGTATATTAAACGGCTCGGCTTGAAAGCTCATTAAGCGATTTGATTAAATTAAAATATATTAAAAATAAAAATTCTTAATTTTTTTTTCATTTAAAACTAAGAAATTGAGCTCAATAATTGAGTCGAGCTCGAGCCTATGAATTTTTTAACGAGTTGAGCTCAATATTGATAAACGAGCTCGAATCGAGCTCAATAATAGCTAAACAAGCTTAGCTCGATTAGGGAGATACGTGACTCGACTCGACTCTTTTACATCCCTAACACATACCATTAGAGAAATTTTTTACTTTCTTCTCTAAAGCTCATCAAACATACACCAACACACCAATCCTACAAAATTGAATTTGATTTTATTGAATAAGTTATAATTCATGAATATTTGTTGACCACTAATCCACTACCTCATCACTATCCACTAACCTAACTCCTCATAATTGCTCAAAACACTCATCCCGTAAAAAGATTCAGTCGAAGACCCCTCACGCTCTTGATATCGAACTCAGCCGCACGAAGAATCGCACATAGGAACCCTCACGCCTGCTCGAAACCACTTGTTCTCTCTGTGCCGCACGCATAAGCCCTCTCGACTTCTCTTTTTCGCACACAGGAACCAAACTTCCACTCCCTCTTTGTTTATTCGCACGACCGCACGCAGGAGCTGAAGGCCCTCACAACCTTGTTCGCCCCCTCTCTCCATCTCACTATGTTGAATCCCCCCAGATGCACATGTTCTCTCTCTCATTCTCTATTGGTCGCATGTACAAACAACAATCAAGCCCTCTCGTCCTCTCGGTACCGCACGTAGGAGCTCCCAACCGAGCCCACTCCCTTGTTTTCTCTATATTGCACACAAGAGCCGAAGCCAAGAAAAGACCTCGGTCCTTTCAGCCTTTGATCCCTCTATACGCAACCCCCAGCTTGTGCACACGTCCAACCCATCGTCAATCTCCAATCATATTACCCTAACTGCTGAAGAACCCGCGTCCATTGTATCTTTGATCCGGTCGGGAGAAGAACAAGAACTAAAAAAAAACCCGTGTCTATTGTATCTTTGCTCTGACTACAAGAAGAACAAGAAATAAAGAAGACCGCATGCCCATTATATCTTTTGATCAGACTGGGAAGAATAATGAATTATATGAAGACCCTACATCCATCATACTATATAGGCATGTCATATATGCTTGTTTGTTTAAATTCAATTTTATTTATCATTTCATCATCAATGTACATGCCATAATTCATTAATAATAAATATTATAAAGAATATTAGTATGACAACATTTTCATTACTTCATATCATTTACATAATTTGCTATATGATTTGAAATTTTGAATGACATTATTCACATAAAATTAACAGTTAAATGTGATAATAATGAGACTATACTGCTGTCAACATAAGATAATGTGAAATCCTTAAAAACTTTGCAAAAGAATGTTTAAGAAATTAAATACAAGAAATATTTTGGTATTAGTCCATATAAAATCATACAATATATTGGGACAAATGCATATCATTTAAAATTTTAAAAAAGTATTGATATTAATCTACTTTCAATTTATTTCATTTAATTTTATTACGTGAACCTACTGCTCATGCCTTAGGATTTTCTTCCCTTTTCATCTCCTTATAGTGAATTGATATATTGCACTTTACTATACATCTTTATTCATCTTATTCCAAAAGCTACCTTATATGTAGATATTTCTTCCACTATTGATGGTGGATATAAAGAGTACATTGTGCATTGAAATGACGAATTACTTTTGATGATCCATTTATTGCTTTATAGAAAGCACATTAGTTATGCCAATATTTGCATAACAAATGTCAAATATGTAATCTGTTGAAGTCGAATTTTTTCAAGTCTAGCAAAATGATATAAATTTAAAAACTTATACCCTTGTGCATTGATGTTGATTTGATTTTTTTTTTCCTTTTTTATTTTTTAGTTTATTTTTTATGTAACATGTGTGTTAGTTCCTATGAAAATGATGCGTTCTATAGTATTTTGATTACTTCAATATGTATTATTTACTACTACGAGCTATTTCAATTCAATTAGCATAATGAGGCATAGAGTTTTTCAACAAATTACTAAATACAATTTATATTTTCTCTCAAACTTAATGTGTGTTATTAGATGTTGATTCTTCAAGTGAATAGTAAGTCTTAAAGACAACTTCTAAGGGTTTTGCTTTTCGTACCAACTTGAGGTATGGATTTTCAAATTGGTGACTTTGGATCCTTGTTCTTTCATCTAAACTATCTTGTGATTGAATTATATGCGTGATTGAGATTAGACCAAGTTAATTAAATATCAACTTCCATTTTTATGTGGTGTAAATGTTCTTGTTGTGAAATTTTATACCAATTCAAATAAGTAGCTCACAAAAACATTTCAAGTTATGAAACAATTGCCCCTTTATCTTGTTACAATTACAATGTGAACAACTAGAACATAACTTATAAAAATGTCAATGAGGTGGAGCGGAGCTCATCTACTTACATGACCTTAAGAGATTTATGATCATCAATTGTTTGCAACATGGATGATAAAAACACCAACAAAAAGTCAATGAGATGGAGATAACCCATGATATGGAACATCATAGCTAAAGTTTTCCTTAAGGCTAGCTTATCATAGTTTGTTACATGATTTCTAGAATGTTCTTACTAGCTTATATAAGCAAGGTATTATAAGGAGGGGAGAAGATGAATTTTATATATTTTTTAAGCCTTGAGCTTGTTAGTTATCTAGTTTTATGTATCTCTTCTTGCATCTCCTTCTCCTATTGGATCCTGCCTACATGAACATCATAGCTAAAGTTTTCCTTAGGACTAACTTATCATAGTTTGTTACATGTTTGTTATATGATTTATAGAATGTTCTTACTAGCTTATATAAGCAAGGTATTGTAAGGAGGGGAGAAGATGAATATTATATGTTTTTGAAGCCTTGAGCTTGTTAGTTATATAGTTTTATGTATCTCTTCTTGCACATCCTTCTCCTATTGGATCCCGCCTAAAAGATACTTTTGGTTGGAGCATTTGGAGTTATTACATCATTTGGAGTAGGGAAAACAAACTACTCTGGTCTTAGAAACATCTTTGGAATGGCGCGGTGTGCCCAAGACCTACCAAACAGTGTTAGTTAGCAATGCCTTGACGGGTTGGCAGGGACGCTTCAGGTTGATAGGGTGCTAGCAAAGTTATGACGGTAAGCTGCATTACGTGGCTTCAGAAGTCTTCATTTCTGTCGGTACTTTCGCCGCCGCTGCCGGCTCTTTTCCAACAATTGCATATGTCGCCATTTACAGCATAAGGGGCTTTCTGGCCTTCACCGACTGCTGTTGAGGGTGGAAACAGAGGCAAAGAGAATAGTGGCAACACTACAAAAACGATTGTTATCATTGCCCTTCCTATTGCTTTTGCCTTGGTGGCGTTATGTGTTTTCTTCCTAATGCAATTAAGAAAGAAGAGAGCACTGAAAAGAATGCCAACAGGACACCTTGTAAAGAAGGAGAACATGAGAAGTACTAAATCTTAGTTATTTGATCTGGATACAATTAAGAAAGCAACAAATAATTTCTTTGAAGAAAATAAGCTGGGAGAAGGTGGATTTGGACGCTATGTCATTGACTTCAGAGGTGCTGTTGTTGAGCGCAAAGCAGTTGTTGCTCAAGAAAGATTGCTTCTTAGTCACTGTCTTGTCCTATCTGCACTTGTCTGGAGAATAAATCCAAAAGAGGTCAAAGATATGTTTGTTGTGATAAGAGATTGTGCTGTTGAACTTGATGAAACTGATAACACTATAAAACTTCAGATCACAATCAGTTTAATGTTCTCACTTGTGATTTCCTTTGTATATAATGCTTTGAGGTCAAGTTCTGCTGAGATTTTACTTAAAGACATGAGCTCATTTGACACTTTTATGGTGTTTTAAGAAACAAGGTTATGGAAGGGTTGAGGGCAGAAGGATATGATGTCTACAAGAAGGTCCATATGGAGATCTAGTTTATTCATTGGGAATCACATTTGCTGTAGGCATACCTCCTCTACTTCAGATTTTGGAGACGGGTTCTTCAAAGGCTAAGGAGAATTCTGCTAAGATCCTTGGGAACCTCTATAATCACAACAAGGATATTAGAGCATGTGTACGAAGCGTTGATGTTGTCCTTGCTTTATTATGGTTGCTGAAAAATCTTTTGTTCATATTCAAAATCTTTGACCCAGGAGGATTGGCTATGTTCTCTACACACTTACCTCTCTATCAATGACACGCCTCGACGGAGTCAAATTCTTTAGATGCTAGGGGAGTATGATGTGGAACATCATAGCTAAAGTTTTCCTTAGGATTAGCTTATAATAGTTTGTTACATGACTTCTAGAATGTTCTTACTAGCTTATATAATCAAGGTATTGTAAGGAGGGGAGGAGATGAATATTATATGTTTTCGAAGCCTTGAGCTTGTTAGTTATCTAGTTTTATGTATCTCTTCTTGCATCTCCTTCTCCTATTAGATCCTGACTACATCAACCCAACTAACACCTCCTTTAAATACAACAAGAGGATGATCTTAACAAATTAACAAGGCCTTGTGAAATGCATCATTCATCACTTCTTCAAACCATAAGCCTTACTCCCACCACTTAACCCTGTTTTTTTCAACATATACTTTAGTGACAAGTTCTATAGGATTATTGGTAGATTGAATAAATCTCTATCATTTCTAAAAATCACCATTCTTATTTTAACCAAGAGTAAAAAGTTACTCTCTTTTAACATTTATTAGTCCCAAATGTTAGAACTGCATATGTCAATATTTGCTATCATGAAAATAAGTAAGATGAGAACATCATTGAAGAAAACCCACTTAAAAATGAAAACCTTCATATACTAGATATAATATCAAGAGATAACATAAGCTATGAAGGAAATAAATACTCATAACTTGCCATTTAAAAATGATCAGAGAACATCAATACGAACAATGACCAGAAAATTATGTCGAATGAGTAAATGTATGCATTTACTACAATCATGAACTTGTAAATGGGACAGTAGCACACATCACTGCTTCTACCTTTAGGCATCAAAGAGTTTGTTGTTACAAGAGTTCCTTTCTCATGGAAATTGCAGCATTTGCGAGCACTTCACGCAAAAGCTACATTTTCCATCATACAACACATTCAAATACTAACTAAAACACAGATGCAACTTAATTTACAGTGAAGAGAACAGGCCTCCATTATCATTTTAAGTTGGAGCAGTTTTTGTACCTTTTTCACCAACCATCACAGCCTTCTCATAGTCAGCTTCCACAGGGTGCACAGAACACTCCACAGCAGCAACAGGACTCCGGCAAGAAATCACATTCCTCATAAAAATCACCATGAATGCCATCAATGCACCACAAACAAGACCAAACAACCATGCCATGACATTCATCCTACTGTAATTATTTCTCTGATGAATGCCGGATCCATTTTCAGAAGCCACCATGTATGCACGAGGATCCAGAGGCTCAGAATGCATCAGGTAAGGAGCTCCATGCGTAACTACAAAGCTCCAAGAGTAGATACGGCTACCATTATTTGAATTTCTTTCCTTAGAAAGAAAATAATCACTCGATGAGCTTATACCCACTAGAAGTGCCTCCATCTGCAAGACACTCGAGATATCAACTGGGCAGGAGATGAATGGACTCGCAGGTCTCCAAGCCCTAAATTTGCTTAACCTCACTTCAATTCTCTTTGAAAACCCATCATACTCGACCCAAGAATGTAGCTTCCCTCCGCTGCTCACATCTACATCACCCGAAGAAAATTTACAGCCTTCAGCGCTTGATTCACGACCAACACTAATCCCGATGTGACCACGGCTTGCATTGCTAGTAAATTCCACCAAAAGAACGTTTTTTGACAGTCCAAACAGTCGCGAATCAGCTGAATCGAGAAAGAAAGCTAGGTTATTGGCCCCGGAAGAGGAAAGGGAGAAGCAGAAATAGGTGGAGAACCCAGGCGTTCCCCTTCCCCGGAGGAACTTGAAGGGTTTCCTGTAAAGGACCTTTCCGGCGCCGATCATTTTAACTGTCGAATCTTCAACCACGGCATCGCCGTAGAGAGCTATAGCGGAGTCCAAAGTGACATTTTTAGGGAAATGGTCGAAGGTGAAGGAAATAGGCGTTGCTGTTGCTAGTGCTCTCAGGGCAAAGTTGGTGAGGGAGAGGAGGAGGGCGAGGACGAAGGGGAAGTACCTTGAGGTGAGGGGGATAGCCATTGTCGGAGCTTGTGCTCTGTCCTCGGGAGATTCCTTTGTTGCCTATGCTTGCATTCAAGGTTTCAGCTTTCTTTTGCAGATGCACATGGATTAGATCTAGGGTTTGAAGAAAGTAGGTCCATCGCGTTCCGGATGGGCTCCACGCATCACGGCCGCTACTGTGGTTTCCATTTTAGCTTCTGCAATGGTAAAGTGTAATGCGGCTACCGTGGTTGCCATTAAACTAACTAAGAAAAAAAAAAACTGGAGGGAAATCATTTTATTCCTCAAATTTCTACATTAAATGAATATTCTTAAAATAATTTTTATTTTAACAAATAATTAGCAACTTCTTAAATTTTGGCTCTTGTTAAAACTAACATCACACACAGCTCACTTTTTAGTCTCTTAATTGGGAGTTTGAGCTACCAACTAAGAGGTTTTAGATTTGAGTATTGTGTATGCGATGTGCATTTGAGTTTGTCTTAATTGGCCTAACTGCCCCCCTCGAAATTTTTTTTTTTCTGCTTATTTGATTTGATTTGATTACTCTACCTAAACTTTTTTATACACGCACATCGCAGACTCAAATAATTAGCAACTTCTTAGATTTTTTTAATTGGGAGCTTAATTGGCCTTAATTTTTTCTTATTTTATTCACACGCACATCGCAGTTTGGACCTAGGTATTTTAATTAAGGTCAATCCACACCTATTCGCTTTATTCAACCAAGTCAAGCTATGTAGCGTGCAATTCACTAAAACAAGTTATACACTAATGGATCGTTTGGAAAAACTTTCTAGCCTGTTTGTTTTTTAGATCACATCAATTATAATTTTGTTTGGCTGTTGATTTCTTAATGTTTTCTCACAACTTCTCATAAATTTTTGTGATAAAAATCTATTTTTTGCAACCATAATAATGAAATTATATTATCTATAACAATTTCACAATCAACTTTATAAAACGATGCAACCATCCCAAACAAATCGTAAATCAATATTTAAATCATTACAAGATCTCAAGAGATAACCACTTTAATAAATTGTGGCAAAAACAAATGCCAACGAGCCCCCAATTCTCATGAGCACGCAAGCTAAATAGAAGCTAATAATAGAGTTTGTTGGGCACAGAGATCTGCGTTCAGACAAGTGGATGACCGCCCTACCTAGCTAGGCTTTGCAGTTTGGCATTGTGTTGTGGAGGGAGAATAGTGAGGCCAATAAAGCTATGACAAAAATAATAATAGACGTTGGCAAAAGTTGCCATGACCAGTCTGGTAGTTCTAATATTGCTTGTCCATGAATGCCATATATTTGTTAGTAAAAACTTCACAGGGCTTCTCATATGCAATTGATCTGCGCTTGGAATTAACAGCTCTTGCCTGCATATTGGGAAAGACGAGATAGATGGCTTAATTGCTACGAGGCCAGTATGGACCACGAGCACTTTCTAGTACTCGTGGCTGGAGTTCCAACTGTTCTATCTCAGATCCGTAGGGGTGTGAATGAGGGCAAATTATTAGGTCCGGACATCCAATTAAAACTTATCACGTCGCCTGCACTTTGATTGTATTTTTTGATTGCACTTTAGGTGCGCTTTGCCTGCGCTTTAACTGCACTTTGTCTACGTTTTACTTGTGCTTTTGACGCTCTTAATTTAAAATAATATTTTATCAATATCCGGACCTATCTCCACGTCCAATGACCGGACGTAATAATTTGCCGTGAATTAGGAAGATAAAATAAAATCTACACATTCAAGAATTATGTTCCAAAATTTATTTCAGATAAAAATACTTTCAGTTTTAAATAATCATGGGCTATCTGTTACAAATCTGCATGAATCATATTTGAGCAATGTTGGAATCATGTTCAAGTAGGGTTCCAACTTTGTTTGATCAATATTAGAACAACATTCGAGCACGACATGGTTCGAATCAGCTTAGAATAAGATTGGAATCCTATTTTAAAATTGTTTGATCATGAACAACCTTCTAAATACATGCAATTTAAACAATAAACCCTTAAAGAATATACCAAAACCACACAACCTACTTCACACACTTAGATAGTTTGTTATGACAACCTACTCTAGCCTAGGTTAGTCTGTTGGTGTGAATTATCTGTCGTGTGCTTTGCATGTAGAGCATCATGTGTTTATCTATTTATTTTCAGCACTATGAATGTCATACATTTTTATATTTCTATTGGTGAACTTATGCTCTTTAAGGACTGTATTACAAGCATATATTAGGTAATTACACAATTACTCTGGACATTTTATATTCATACATGCTTATTGTTTCTTAAATAGTTTATTAGATTTTTGCACGAGTTAAAGTAGAATGTACCTAGGAATTATTATATACATGTATAAATATAGTTTGTATATAAATCGAGTTGTATAGCATCTTGAGTTGTGAAAAAAATCCAATGCATCTGCTTATATATACAAATGGAACTTCAAAAGATAATATCCTCTCCCTTGAAAGATACTCTCTTTTGAAATTTCATAGAAGACCCGTAGCTCAAATACAATAAGCAGATATATTTGATTAAATATATATGGTAGGCTTAGAAACTCAAGTTTATTGTGGTGGAGCCTGTCTACCTTATTTTTATGTAGAGTCTGAGTCTATTGTATACATTCAAATCAATAAATGAATATAATTTCTTTTATTTATACAATTCTCTTATTTGCATCATTTCATATACTACATGCATGTACGTGGTAGCTTACATTAGGGGGTTTTAGCTTTTCTTAAATTTTCCTCGGTGTGCATGTTTCAGACTTTGTAGAAACGTGTATACTAATTTTAGGACAATACAACTTTGGTTACTATAGACACCAACCCCTTTACCTATTCATACATATATACATGCTTATTTTATTTCTATTACATACGTAGATCCTAGGTGTATACCTACAGCTAGGAAGGTAGCAGGGTCCCCATTACGCACGGGGGATGCAACACTTTTCCTGTTGGTATAGGGTCGTTATGCTGCCAAAATTTCTAAGAAATTTTAGTAGTTAAAAAATTTAACTAGGTAATCTATATAAGATAAAATTTAGAGTCTTTAGCAAATCATCTTGTTAGCGTCACTTAAACTTGAAGTCGAACTACTCATTTTGAGTCATTGATTTATAGTTTGATCTATTCCTTCAATCTTTTAGGACAAAGCTAACCTTATCATGCATCATATCTAAGACAATTGCGCATGTATTAGGTTGTTAGATGACAGCTCATTCTAAGTAGGCATAAGCTCAGAGGTATTTGCATACCTCAACTCTATGATAAAAATAATATTATGTATTTAAATATATTTTCTACAAAAAAGTATTATTTTTTTAGGGAATGATTGATATTTTCAAATATGTAAGGCAACTTTCTTATATGTTAAAGTAAAAATGAGTTTAATCTCTACCGTAACCAAAGTTTTCTCTTCGAAGATGTAATTTACTACCACTATAGGCCCCAAGATTCTAGCATAAAATAAATCCTGTCTTAGTTTACTAAGAGTGGGAAAAAATCTCTAGACGTCAACTAAAACCTATCATGGGTTAATTTTATATTTAAAATGATAAGCAAAAGTGAATTTTATCATTCGGGATAATTTTTACATTCCCTACGTCAAGTTTGGATACGAAAATAAATTATTTCTTTCCCCAAATCGAGAATATAGTGTCAGTATTTTCTTCGGGATAATTAATACTAATTGTGCAGATTTATCTAAAGAAATATTAAATATAAAATCAATGATAAGATCATTTAATTTGTCCACAATCATGTGAAATGCTTGGTTAGAATGGATTTATCTAAAGAAATATTAAATATTGTTGCGTCCTGAAATATTCTTGGAGGTAGAGAGTGATATAGTTTAACGTCTTAACTTTGTATGAAGATCAAGAACACAAACATAGAAGAGAGTATGATTATAGAGTTTATAAGGGAGACCATAATTTATATGTGGAAAATCCTAAAAAGGAGAAAAATCACGGGGCCTAGCCCATTTTGAATGAATCCACTAATATTTGTAATTGATTACAAATGAGGCCTTTCCTTAGAAGGAAGGTCTTGGCTCTATGTAACAAATATACATCATTCAGAGTGCTTTATATGCTGGGAGTTGGAAGAGATAATGTTGATATGTTCATTTGGGCAGTAGGACTATAGTCGGCGAGCAATATAGGCCGGAAGGACTACAGTCGGATGACGATGGTCGGAAGGATCGTAGTCGGGCGATGGAGGTCGAAAAGATCATAATCAGACGGCGGTGGTCGGAAGTATCGTAGTCGTTAGTAAACGGTGGTTAGAAGGACCGTAGTTGACGATGGTCATTAGAAGGATCATAGTCAGTGGGCGATTGGGATAAGGAGGACTGTAGTTGGCAATGGTCATAGGAAGGGTTGTAGTCGGCGGGTTACTGGGGGTAGGAGGACCATAGTTGGCAATGATCATTGGAAGGACCGTAGTTGGCGAGCGATTGGGGTCGGGAGGACCATAGTTGACAATGGTCATTGGAAGGACCGTAGTCGGATGATAGTGGTCAAAAGGACTGTAGTCGGGTTGCGAAGGTTAGGAGGACCATTTTTAGGTGATGGTGGTCAGAAGGATCGTAGTCAGTGAGCAATGATGGTCAGAAAGAATAATGTCTAACGATGGAGGTCGGAAGGATTGTAGTCGGCGGGTAGTGGAGGTTGGAAGGACCGTAGTTGGCAAGCGGAAGTCTGATGTTGGGTAGAAATACAATAAAAGTCTGGCAACAGACAGAAGTCCGACGATGGATAGAAGTCCGACGACGAGCAGACATATGACATCGGGTAGAAGTTAGATAAAAGTTTGATAGTGGTTGGCAGACTAGCAGAAGTCCGGCTATGGTCGGCGAGCTGGCAAAAGTCCGGCGATGGTTGGCAGACTGGAGGAAGTTCAGCGGTGTTCGATGAATTGGCGGAAGTCCGACAGTGGCCACGAAGAACTTTAACAGTGGTTGAGGAATGGGCGGAAGTCCATCGGTGGCCATGAAGAACTCTAGCGGCGGTCGGCGGCGATGAAGCTCCCAAATTCTTCCCTTCTTTCCCTCCTCTTTCTCCTCCTTCTCCCCCTCCTCTCATGAGAAGAGTGGAGCCTATTTATAATTTTTTGAGAGTGACATGATTTGTAATTATGTGGAGGATTAAGGTCAAAATGGGAGTGGTTTGAAAGGGCGGCTGATA